TAGTGCTTAAACCCAATGAAGCCTCTTCATTTTCCGAGCTTGAGTCCCTGGAATTGGTGGAGGAGGGTGGAGGTGTTGGGGTTGAGGGAGAGAGTGGAGGATGTTGCAGAGGGACTGAGAATTTGGAGCTCTGGGGGGCTGCTGTGAAGTGGGGTTCAGAGTTTAAGTTAGATTCTTCTGAGCAGTGTTGCAAAGCATGTAAAGCCATGTGTACTGGGACTGATGGGCCTTGTTTGTGTGATAGCTGGGTTTTCTGTGGGAACAAGGAGGCATGTGGCTCAAAATTTGGTGAGGTAAGTTGAATCTGGAGCCTGGTTTTTTTGTTGTCAAAATTGATTAAAAATTGTATAGTTTCTTATGTTAGTTTTGATTTGGATGGCATTATATAAGTTCAGTTAGTCTTGAGCTATGTACTTGATTCCTTGAGCATATTTTCAAAGTCTGTGTAGAAATAACATAGGACTTGCCATTCTGTGAGCATATTATCGAAGTCTGCATTTTACCATCAAATGAATTGTGAGTGCGCATAGTTTGGATTTTCTTTTTTGAATATTATTCTAAATCTCAAGTGCTTAAGTTTTGAATTCTTTGTGTTGAAACTTTGTCACTTCAGTGCTGGCTGAAGAAACAGAAAGATACATTAGCTCCTGAGCGGCAGGAAGTAGGGGAAACAGTTAGTTGGACTTCTGGACTCATCTTTGGGAGAGGAGAGGTATGAAAGTTTGATGAGCACTTTATTTTTATTATTCATGCTCTTCTTATACTGAAACTTGTAGCCATCTTAAGTTTCCATTTCTCAGCCAGTAGAAGTTGTTGCTACAAGAACTATTAATCAGTAGAACTGTTCGAATATAAGGAATCAAAGTCCTGTTTCTTGGAAATTTTCTCATTATTTGTAGTGATTGAAGACTTGTTCAGATAAGAAAAAACAAAAAAACAGAAAGAAGACTTCTTGTGTTTGCATACAGGAATTTGATCATTGTCATATATGCCTATCAACCTGCACATGGAATGCATCTGGCAAATTTTCGAACTTATATGTCTATCAACTTGTTCTTTTTGTTTCTTGTTAGTTCCAGTATTCCATGTGCAATTTGATAGGCATATACGTCTAAAACTTTGCAAGATGTATTCCATGTGCAAATTGATATATGAAAATATGATTAAAAAATCCTGTATGCAAAGACAACAAATCTTCTTTCCTTTCTTTGAAAAAAAAATAGTTCTGAACAAGTCTTTTTATCCAAAGAATATGACCGTTAATTGCGTATATGTGTTTCTTTTAAGGTGGAGTTCTTAAGATGGTAAAAGCTATAAACCTCTGCTTTTAATTATGAATATCTTTCGACTAACACAGATAACAAAATCTGTGTTATAGCTATAACATCCATTAGGTAAAGAGAAAATGAAAATTCAATTGAATGTGGTGGATTCACTCTGTAAGAAATAAACTAGGGTGAGCCACTGTGTTCTACATCATTGTTCTGTGTGGGACTGTAAGTCTCTGTACCTCCTGAGCCAGTTCATGACCTGTTACAGGATGAAATCAGGTCGTTGTTGCTTTTCACACAATTGCAGTACATGTACCTTCAAAATAATAGCACATGTTTTTTTCAGATTAGGAAGAAGACATGATAGGGCATTTTCTTAGTAGCTTTCCACGTTACAATTGCAAGGGTTCTGTCATTCTTGTAGTCTTTGACTCTTTTTTATTGATTATGTTTCGTTGTTATTGGTTCACAGAAATTGGTTGTATTATCAATTTATTATACTGTTGATGTACCTATATTTTCTCTTTGTAGGGCATTGTTGGCTTGGAAACAAAGTATGGAACTCTTCATATAAAAGTAAGTGTTAATGCCATCAGAATTTTCAACTCCCTTTTTCATATTTATTTTTTATTCTATAACTTATTATATGCATCATAAAACTGCGTTTAGAAACTATTTGCAAAAGGAACATGAATTCTTAGGGGCGGACTCTAGAGGGTGGTTTACAATGCACTAATCAGTCCGAGTACAACCTCTAGAGTTAACTTTGTGTCCATAAATTTATGTTCATGTTATTTTTCTGACTTGGTTCAATAATTCAAAGAGGGATCCTCCTAGACAGGCATTGCTCAAAGTCTAGTATCCCTGTGGAACTTGATTCTGAGTTTTGGCTCACCTTCTTATCCTCATAATGATTGGATAGCATCATAAGAGAACATTATTCAAGAGCAGTGGCGGGGTCAGTTTTTCATACGTACGGGGCCTCTAATGTTATTCAAATTTCCCTTAACAAGACAAAAAATCCTTTTGAGAATAAACTTTAGAAGCAGTGACGGATCCAGGACTTCATATTTACAGGGCCTCTAACAAAATCAGCAAAATAAGCCTCTAGTCCATTGATTTCAATGATATACTGAAACTTACTGGAGGATTAATCTTCGTTCTAATCTGCAGAGAAATTAATCAGACCAAAAGATTCACTAACTTTAGTCAACTGGTCCCTTAGCCCGGTTGAGAGTGGAGATAAAACTCAGAGGTTTTAGCTCTACGGATTATTATTAATTTCAACCTGTGGTGGGTTGGAAGGACAAAAGAGAGAGGGAACAAAAAATCTGTCTGTCGTGGGATAGAACAGAAAAAGAGATGGTGGGACTTTTTGAAGGTACCTCTGGTCTTGTTGCGCTTCCTTCCCTGTTTATAAATATTTTATTTCGCTTAAAAAAAAAAAACAAAACAAGAAAACTTTATGTCTTTAAATTTGGTGTGCATGTTAGATGTATTCTAAATGTGCAAATTAAATGATATGAGCTTGTAATCTCTTGTGTTTATATCTGTTAAAACATGTTATCTTGATAATTTGTGGAGGCCTGTTGAAGAAAGTATGTGTGTACCATGCAAAGAATAATGTATCTAATTATGAGTCTTCACTGGAAGGTTCGTTGCTTTGATGTGCCTTACTGTTATAATTTGATAGGACGCGTATCTCTCATAAAAAAAAGACATGAGTTTTTGTTATTTGGTATATTGTAAGGATATGCAGTTTGCAGAGTGTTAATTTTTTCCAATCTGAAGAAAACTTAAGATTTTTGCTCGTCATTTATGCAGGTTTGTATGTTTCTTTGATTTATGCCACACGCTAACAATTTCTAGTTTTAATGTTCATTTATGCAGCTTTTGCCTGACTGTGCCCCTCATTCTGTAGCCTACATTCTTGAGTTGTTGGCATTGCGCCATTGTGCAGGCTGCCAGTTTTATCGTGCAGAGAGACGGGGGTCATCATGGGATTCAGAAGGAAACCACATAAAAAATGTGAGGCTTGATTAAATTCCTTTTCCTTTTTCTGAAGTTGATTTTGCATGTCTAAAGTTTCGTTATGCAGTTTCATATCACCTATGCTCTCTCATGGGAGATGTGCTACCTAAATTTGATGTTTGTATTGACTGTGGTAATACCATGTTTGGTCTGTGTGTTCAATATATAACGTTCTTCTGTGTATTTGCCAGGCTCCCTTTGGTCCTCCTTTTGCACTGGTTCAAGGAACACTTGATGCCCAAGGAGTGATATTTAAGAAGATTCCAACTGAGGTTTGCCCAACCATAAGAAGGGGTTCGGTCGCGTGGATTGGTTCTGGCCCAGAATTTTTTATAAGCCTTGCAAACCACGAAGAGTGGAAAAAAGAATACACTGTCTTTGCTTCTGTTCTTCCAGAAGACATGAACATCGCTGAGAAAATTGCTCAACTTCCCACCACAGCTGATGTTTGGAACAGTATCAATGTATCTGTCTTGGAAAAGCCTGTTCCCTTGTTCTTGCGAAGGATGAAGACAAGTCATGGAGATCTCACCGCAAACATGAAATCAAATTAAGAGAATCTATACAATACTGGTATGTATACGACGAAATCGGTCCCTTCATGCGGGTTTCTGTCCTTAATCTGAGTTAAATTTGCATTGCTCTCATGGAGGAAGAACACATCAATGGGGCCATAGAGAAAATTTGTGATTTAATGTAACTAACTTCATTCACATATCAGATCAAATACCAAGCAAGGGAATATTTGTCCAAGTTTATATCATTTGATTATGGCAAATGGTGCGTAGCAGGTTTCTGTTTATGTAGCTGAGCAAGTATTCTTTTTGGGGAATAGGCGGAAATGAAGAGGATCCTCTCTCTTGTTTGTTTATCTTTCCCTCCTATTCTCTTATTTTCTCAAAATTCAAATCTGAATGTTTCACTTCATTTAAACAAAATTTGATGGTTATTTTGTTTATCGAAAAAATCGTGGCTTAAAAGAGAATTAGGTAACTTCCACCAACCCTTAGGAAAATCAAAAGAAACGAAGAACTTCAACCTAAGTAATTGATGACATGGTCAAGAATTAAATCAAGAAAACTGACGGCATGAGTGAAAGAGGTTTGAGGAAAAGATGATTGATCTTTTAAAACAAACCCAAATTTGATGCGTTAGACACTAGCTCAAATCGAATTCTCTTAATTGGTCTTCCCTCGCTATTCTAGTTCTTCTGCACGACTACAATGGAGATGGCAAATCTAGTGTCTATCTAAATTACAGCCCAATTTAGATAGAACTAGGTTTGACCTAAACTTTTTATATGTGATGTATACATACAACGTAAATTTTAAATTTTCAACTCAACTTGGGTTGCAATTTAGATAGATTAATAACACTTCGCTACATTTATTTAGTTTGTAGATCTTTAATAACATTAATCACCATAAACTCTGTAAGTGATTAAGAACAGCTATCACTGCATCCGAGATTGTATGTAGTTAAAATCAAATATCACTGCATCCGAGATTGTATGTCGAATTCCCCACTTCACTTCTTAATATCACTTGCATTAAAAAGTAAAATTAAAAAACAACCGGGAACTCCAAACAGTTGCAGCAGCCTAATACAGCATTTCCGACAAAAAAAAAAAAAAAAAAAAAAGCCTAATACAACAGCGCCAAAGCAATCCTCCCCAACCCTCAAAAACCCTCTGAAAAACTTGGTCTCTCTCCACTCTGCAACTCTTCAACTCTCCTCCTCCTCCTCCTCCTCCTCCTCCTCCAAATGGTCCAATTCCACGAGCACATAATCACAGAGCTCCTCGACGACCCACAAAACGGCAGCGGTTTGGTCATAGTCTCCTCAGGCCTCTGCCTCCCCAAACTCATCTCCACCCTCCTCCTCCTCCACACACCTTCTCAGGGCACCCTCCTCATCCTCTCTCCGCACCAACCTTCTTTCAAATCTCAACTCCTCCACCATTTCCACCCAAGCCCAATTCCCGAAATCTCAGCAGACCTCCCCTCCCACCATCGCCACTCTCTCTACACCTCCTCCAATGTCTTCTTCATCACCCCTCGCATCCTCATCGTTGACCTCCTCACCAAAAAACTACCCACCTCCCAAATCGCCGGCCTCATCATTCCCACTGTTCATTCCCTCACTGAAACCTCCACTGAGGCTTTTATTGTCAGGATCTTCCGCTCTCTCAACAAAACCGCCTTTGTTCGCGCGTTTTCTGACAAACCCCACTCCATGGTTTCTGGGTTTGCCAAGGCTGAGAGGATTATGAAGTGCTTGTACATCAGGAAGATGCACCTTTGGCCGAGGTTTCATGTTGATGTGTCGCAGGAGTTGGAGAGGGACGCTCCAGAGGTTGTGGATATAAGGGTGCCAATGACCAAACACATGGTGGGCATTCAGAAGGCGATTATTGAGGTCATGGATGCTTGTTTGAAGGAGATGAGGAAGACCAATAAGGTTGATGTGGAAGACTTGACTCTGGAGAATGGGTTGTTTAAGTCGTTTGATGAGATTGTGAGGAGGCAATTGGATCCCATTTGGCATACCTTGGGGAAGAAGACTAAGCAGCTTGTGTCTGACTTGAAGACCCTCAGGAAGCTCTTGGATTACCTTGTTAGGTACTTGAAAATCTTGGCTTTTACTCTTTCTGGGTTTGTTTTGCATTTGGTTTACGTTTTAGATTGGTAAGAGATAGATATGATTCAATTAGTTTTTGGGATTTGTTGCACTTGTTTGTGAATTAAGGATTTTGTTTTGGTTTTGGTTTTTTTGAGAAATAACTGTTGGGTTAGTAATGGTGATTGATTTTGAAATGTTGTTATTTTGGTAGATATGATGCAGTAACTTATTTGAAGTACTTGGATACACTGCGAGTGTCGGAGAGTTTTCGATCGGTCTGGATATTTGCAGAGTCGAGCTATAAGATATTTGAGTATGCGAAGAAAAGGGTGTATCGATTTGTGACATCAGATGGTGTGATGTTGAGTGATAAGGGTAAGAGTTCGAAAGGCAAGAAAAGAAAACTGACGGGGGATGATGATAAGGAGCAAGGTGAGGAATAATAATTGTCTCTGTGGCACTTCTTTTATTATTTTGTATTTTTGAACCTTTTTGTATTTGCATATGTAGCAGTTGGTGGCACTTCATCGACCAGTACAAGTAGTGGGGTAGTTTTAGATGAAGTTTTAGAGGAGGCACCAAAGTGGAAGGTCTTACGTGTGAGTGAGTGAGTTCCCATTTTTATGTGCTCAAAATGTTATTCATCTTTTATGAATGCACAGCCTGTTGGATCAATATACCATTAAACCGTATAACGAAGTAAATATTAGTTGTGATCCAATTCTAGGCCTTTTCTTCTGTCATTTGTATCATTTGCTCCTAGTGTTTCAGTTTGAATGACTATAGGGATGATAATGAAGTTGATAACTCAAGCGATAAATTTGTCGACATTTCAATGTGTTAATTTAATTGCAGGAGGTTCTTGAAGAGATAGAAGAGGAAAGAAAACAGGCTTTTCCAAGAGGAGAACATCTGGTTGAAGAAGATGATGATGATAGTGGCATTGTTCTAGTGGCATGCAAAGATGAACGCTCATGCATGCAGCTTGAAGATTTCATTACCAATGGCCCACATAAGGTTTTCTTAATTTCTTTTTCTAAGTTTGTTTCCTTTGGCTTGCTTTGTATATTAACTGTCAAATAAATGAAAACTGGAAAGGGTATGCAACCTTGGTCTTGATTTGATTGTTCAGTCAAGTATGAAATTCTAATTTGTATATTAAGGGTTTTTTTCTTCTTAAGGAAATTGCATTTGTGAATAGGTTTGTAGGCATTGTTTGTTCAATGAGATAAATAATCATATAGTTTCATACATTTTCGAACTCTTTAAGCAATCTAAGAGTGGCTGGGCATTATTATTATTTTCTATAAATTTTTTAAATCAATTGGCTTTCAAGAATCAATGGTGCATAAACTTGTATAAAAGCTGATCAACCAATTAATGGGGTGTATTCTTGTGTAGGTCATGCGGGATGAATGGGAAAACTACTTGCTGGGCAAAGGAGAGCTGCGTGACTTGCATACACGGTTTAAAAAGAAACCAAAAAAGCCCAAAGGTTTTGGGATTCTAGATGGAGTTGTTCATGCACCAACCCCACAGAATGCAGAAGCTAGTAGCATAAACAAGCAGGAAAATGATGCACTTTTGGCTGCAGCTGCTGAAATTAGAAAGCGGGCTAAAAAAGATGATGCTGTTGGAGATGATCCTCAGCTTCCTGTTAGTGGGAGAGGACGTGGAAAGGGAACAGTAGTTGCTATAAAACCCCCACAGAATGCTGAAGCTAGCAGCGGAAACAAGCAGGAACATGATGTGCTTTTGGCTTCAGTGTCAGAAATTAGAAAGCAAGCTAAAAAAAATGAGGCTGTTGGAGATGATCCTCCTCTTCGTGGCAGAGGGCGTGGAAAGGGTAGGGGAAAAGTAAGGAATAAAAAAGGCCCAGCCAATGTTAAGAGTTCGGGGAATAATGACGATAATAATGATAAAAAAGAAGCAATATTGGATAAGCTTGTTATATCTGATTCAGAAAATGAAGGGCAAGCAGATCAACTCAATCAGGTGGTGACAGCTGATTCTAGTGAAGCAACATGCCAGGGTCACACTGTAGATCAAGGGGTATTGAGGAAGCATACTGGAGAAGCTGATTCTACTGTATCCAGAAATGCTAAGCCACTACCTCCGGTGCACTTTTACGCTCTAGAAAGTGGTCAACCCATACTTGACATTCTGAGACCCTCTACAATTATTGTTTACCATCCAGATATGAGTTTTGTCAGGGAAATTGAAGTCCATAAAGCCGAGAACCCCTCAATGAAGCTGAAAGTTTATTTTCTTTTCTATGAAGAATCTTCTGAGGTGCAAAAGTTTGAGGCAAGCATAAGAAGGGAGAATGCAGCATTTGAATCTTTGATCAGGCAGAAGTCACTGATGATGATACCAGTTGATCAGGTTTGGTTATTTTCCAATTTAGAATCTTCTCTGGGACTGTTTGCTATCAATGTTTTACAGTCTGTTTCTGTATCGTTACTGTAGTTTTACATCAAATTTGCGAGTGGATAATGTGAATTTGCTTCAATAAACCAAATATAGCTTCTAAAAAACTGTTTAGGATTGCCTTCTTGTTACTTCTTAGTTCTGGACTTTTAGCCTTCTACATGGACTATATGAACTTTTGCTGCATTGCTATTTCTCCAAACTACTCTTGAGTGTACAGGTGGAAGAATAGTTTATTCTGTTCACTGTGTGTAGCTCTATTTATGTCTTTTATTGTAAAATCATTTGAAACATATACTACTGGCACTGGGTTAAGTATGTGTTGCTTAAAGACTAATTTCCCAGTGAACAAGGCCTGCTGGTGGAACCATTATTCAGTACATATTTCTTGGACCATTCTGTATATCTTGAATATTACATTCGATATGTTGGTTTTGTTGTGTTTTTAATTATTTGTGTATTTAGACCCTTCATGGTGTAGTAGTGCTTATGTTCCTTTATTTGAGTGGGTGTGGGTTTTGCCTGGATTTTACATTAGGATGGGAACTGCCTGGGATTGAATTCTTCCCTAGAACCTCAAACTATGTCATCCCAAAACTCTGTAACCAGAAAGGCGGGGGGAAGAAAGGAGGTTGAGAAGGAAATGCAGGTGCATTTATTTACCCTATATTATGTTTTATATCTCCTTTACCAGCAGAACCAGTTTGTTTAAGAATTCTCAGCCTTTCAGGTCATAGTGGACATGAGGGAGTTCATGAGCAGCCTTCCCAATGTTCTCCACCAGAAAGGCATGCGCATAATACCCGTGACGTTGGAAGTTGGGGATTATATCCTTTCTCCACTAATATGTGTGGAGAGAAAGAGTATCCAAGATCTTTTTATGAGTTTCACATCTGGTCGTCTTTATCACCAAGTGGAAACAATGGTTCGCTACTATAGAATACCTGTTCTCCTGATTGAATTTTCACAGGATAAAAGCTTCTCATTTCAGGTAATATGAATCATATCTGTAGAGATGGATCAATTGGTAGGCCTAATGCTAAGCTGGTATATTTTGTTGGATGTTTGGTTGCAGTCTGCAAGTGATATTGGTGATGATGTCACACCAAATAGTATTATATCTAAGCTGTCATTGCTTGCTCTACACTTCCCCCGGCTGCGAATCATCTGGTCTCGCAGTCTGCATGCTACTGCTGAAATATTTGCTACTCTTAAGGCAAATCAGGATGAACCTGATGAAACCAAAGCAATGAGAGTGGGTGTACCCTCCGAAGATGGAATTGTGGAAGATGATGTGAGGTAAGATGCATGATTTTCAACTGGTTTTTGCATGTTGCAGTCTTAGCTTCTTAAGCTTGTATTCCGATCTTTCATTCTTCTGGAGGGCATAGGGAGACTTCACTCTTTTTAGTAGAGCATGCAGTCTACACAAGGCCTCCTTGTGCACTTTTTCTTAAATAAAAAATCAATGCTGCATATTTATAGTGGAATTTAGTCACTAGTGGAACCACATCAGTCAGTTCCACTGAAATACTTGTATGTGCTTCTGCATGCAAAACCCTCCTCCCTCTCTTATGGACCTCAGTCACTGACCTGACCATAGAGTTGGGTTTATTTGGTTCCTTCATACTCCTGATGTAAATCTGATGGCATAGTGTACTAAATGTTCAGGGCTGAAAATTACAATACATCTGCTGTGGAGTTCTTGAGACGACTTCCGGGGGTGACAGATTCGAATTACAGGGCCATAATGGACGGATGTAAGAGCTTGGCAGAACTCGCTCTTATGCCTGTGGAGAGGCTAGCCGAATTGATGGGTGGTCAAAAAGCTGCTCGCACTCTCAGAGACTTCCTTGATGCCAAGTATCCAACCCTGCTATGAAGATTAGTAGTAGCATAATTATACCTATATAATTTATTCATTGGTGGTATTGTTACAATGATTGATTACTTTCCTCCCGGATGATCTTGTCATTTGAAAATTGTTGTTGTGTTGAAGGGCTTCTTTTGGCCATCTCATTTTTCTTTTAGTCGAAGTCATTGTAATTTGGCAATTCATTGTTTGATTAGTCATACGTATAGGATATTTCATTACTGTAAATATTTGATTTATCTAAGTTGATACCTTTTCTGGCATCATCGCTATTTTTAGAATTTCGAGTGTGGTCTTGGTGGAAGATTCTAACTTAAAGTACAAGGATTTCACATTTTCACTATAAACTATTGAAGCACAAATTCAATTAGACACAACATCTATCTAAGCTTTGAAGTTTGAGCGGCTACCTAAATATAATGGGCAACAATTTCATATTTTAATTGACTATCAAACTAATTCAGATTCAAGAATTTCTCGTGTTCTTGTTTGAATTGAATATAAAATCATGATTGAACACACAAAAACTCTTAAATACCTTTTAGACGATGGGGGCATACTTGCACGACCGCCATCATACTATGCGGGATCTTTTGGCTCAACTTTATCCCAGTTTTGCTGAGGGAGCAACCCCATTTTTCACCTTGAATTGGTCAAAATATGCGGAATTTCTTACCTTTCAATAGTTTGGTTCTTTTACAATATGAGTTGGTAAGAAAATGTATTTTCTCATATTTTGAATATATCATCGAATCTTTTTTATTTCCGAAAATAGAAAATTGAACTCTCTTTATCCATGTATACATATAGATAAAGATCATTATTTCACTTTATTAAATAAAAAGTTCGTTATAAGAGAATTATAACTCAAGTGAGTATCGAAAGAAGATGATGTGGTGAGGAATTTCTGTGGAGTACATATGAAAAGACATTTGATACTCCCTTTATATAATAAACCGACGGACAAAACAACAGAAAATCTTCTAATAATATCCACCGTCACAGTCTCTGACTGAAAACTGAACACCAGAAAGAACATTCTGATATGGCTCTGACAACGACAGCCACAGGCTCTGCTAATCTCACCACCCCAAACCCCTTCCTCTCCCGTACCACCATCACCCCTCCACCCACAAGCCCTCTCAAGCTCCTCAATCTCCCCAAAAAGCCCAACCCCGCCACCATCGTTGCCTCATCAATCTCCTCTTCCTCTTCTTCTTCTTCTTCTTCTTCCACACTTTCATCCGCCACTGGGCCTCAAGAATGGGCCTTGGACTCGTGGAAATCCAAGCAGGCCCATCAGCTGCCCGTTTACCCGGACCCTGATGAGCTCCGAGCCGTTTTGACCACCTTGGAGACGTTCCCGCCAATCGTGTTCGCCGGAGAGGCGCGGCGGCTAGAGACGTGGCTGGGCAAGGCCGCAATGGGAGAGGCCTTTTTGCTGCAGGGTGGAGACTGCGCTGAGAGCTTCAAGGAGTTCAATGCCAATAACATCAGAGACACCTTCAGGGTCTTCTTGCAGATGGCCATCACTCTCATTTACGGTGCCCAAATGCCCGTCATCAAGGTCCCTTTTTCTTCTTCCTCTGGAATTATCATTTGGGTTTTTGGTGAATTTGTTGGGTTTTTGTTTTGATTATCTGGGTTTTCATTCTTGTCCTTTTTAGGATTATTTTATGTTTGCATGGGATTGGCTATGCACTTTTGAGTCTTTTTGTTTATTAATTACATACACATTCTGCTTAATTATCAGTTTAGTGATTTTGTTTTGTGTTGGGTTTTTTTTTTTTTTTTTTGGGTGGTTGTTTTTGTTGTTGTTGTTGTTGTTGTTGTTGTGGGGTTGGGGGATTAGTGCCCACTATATTGAGAAAAGTATGCCCCACTCACTGTATTGACAAAGGTATTAAATGATTTGTGCATTTAAAAGAAAGGAAAAGAAGTTGTAGGTTTGATATAATTGGGCTTTCATGATATTAGCTATTGAGTTGCTGACTGCAACCATCTCCTCAATGCCTATCATGGCTGCGGAAAATATACTGGAAAGAAGTGAAATGTTTGAATCTTATATTGGATTGGGGTGGATTAATGTACTGCAGTACTGGCTGCTGCATACACTCAACAACAATGACAATTGAGTTCACGGTTGCCTTACTAGATTCTTTAGATCATGATTTGTTAGGTTTCACTACAACATACCTAATGGGTTTTTAGGCTTGTTATCCTAAACATTTAAATAGATCTTCCATAGAGAGTGTAGTGTAAAGGGTGATATGGTGGAAATTCGTTTAATCTTTCGCAACAACGTTATGTTGTTGATGATTTTGATTGCAGCTATCCTTGTCATAAGAAATTGGTACTGTAATTGCCAGGAAGTCACTCCCACTTATTAACTAAGTATACCTGTCAGTAAACAAGGCCCACTGATTCGGCATATGCAGCTTCACTGAAAACAGTCTAATCTAATATTTACTTTATATGACAGGTTGGAAGAATGGCAGGCCAGTTTGCAAAGCCTAGGTCTGAACCATTTGAGGTTAAAGATGGTGTGAAACTCCCAAGTTATCGGGGAGACAATATCAATGGTGACGCGTTTGATGAGAAATCCAGAACACCAGACCCACAAAGGTTACTCAGAGCATACCTCCAATCTGTTGGCACTCTGAATCTCCTTCGAGCATTTGCCACTGGTGGGTATGCTGCCATGCAGAGAGTCGCAGATTGGAAGCTTGACTTCGTAGAGCATAGTGAGCAAGGAAACAGGTATAAATCACATCTTGACTTTCATGTGATACTTCCAATTGTGTCCTTTAGTTTTCTTCCATTTAGCCTGCACTTCTGGGAATCTTTTGTCTCTGAATGAGCCAGAAAGTTACATACCAGTCAAGCAAGCAATTGCCATTTTCTCAGGGAGTTAGCACCTCCATTTTAGTGGTCTCAGATGTTATAAGGCATGCCAGAGGTTGCCAAGATTTGGGTTTTGTCATTTAACCAAAGCTTCTCTGGCGTACTTTGCAAATTTAATATTCATCGGCTAAAAATCAAGATGGTGGAGGTAGACACCTAGAAGTTTCTGCTACATTTTCTTATGTGTCCCAGGTTTCCTATTATCATCCCATAGTATTGAATTCTAGATGTGAAATAGTACTTCACTATACACATTGACGAAGGTTTGTTTCCTGTTGCTTGCAATGATTTTCCCTGGCTGAGGATAGGTACAAGGAACTTGCACAGAGAGTGGATGAAGCTATTGGATTCCTTAATGCTGCAGGGGCTACTGCTGACAATCCGATAATGAATACAGTTGAGTTTTGGGTATCTCATGAATGCCTTCATTTACAGTACGAGCAGGCCTTGACTAGAGAGGATTCAACAACAGGCCACTATTACGACTGTTCTGCACACATGCTTTGGGTAGGCGAGAGGACTCGACAATTGGATGGAGCACATGTTGAATTCCTTCGGGGCGTATCCAATCCTCTTGGCATTAAGGTAAATTAGCTGATACTTTAGAATTCCAAGAGAATAAAATATGGGGATTGTTTTATGAAAATGTTATTTTCGTGATGTTTGTCTTGTTGATTTGTGTATCATAGTTTAGCAATACAAATTTCTTTCTGCATTTTTGTAGTTAGTATGGTGTTGTAGGAGGGGTAAAAAGGTTGCTAAATAGTTTGCCTTCATTAATTAGGCACTGATGTTTGAAATTGTGCAGGTGAGTCATAAGATGGATCCAAAGGAGCTTGTGGAATTGTGTGAAATTCTCAACCCTCATAACAAACCTGGTAGGCTGACAATAATTACCAGGATGGGAGCAGATAATATGCGGATAAAGCTCCCGCATTTGATCAGAGCTGTGCGTCAGGCAGGGCTTATCGTCACATGGGTCAGTGATCCCATGCACGGGAACACTATAAAGGCTCCGTGTGGGCTGAAGACACGGCCATTTGATGCAATCAGGGTAAGTACTAAATCAGTGGAACTAAAACTCTGGTCATTCTATATATTTTATCACAATGTGAGTTGTGAGTTGCTCATCTACTTTACTGATTTCTTGGAGGTGATCTTCCTTGCCTCAGGCTGAATTGAGAGCTTTCTTTGACGTCCATGAACAAGAAGGGAGCTATCCCGGAGGAGTGCATCTGGAGATGACTGGGCAGAATGTGACAGAGTGCATTGGAGGGTCAAAGACTGTGACCGCCAATGACTTGACCTCTCGCTATCACACACATTGTGACCCCAGGCTGAATGCATCCCAGTCACTTGAGCTGGCCTTTTTAATAGCAGATAGGTTGAGGAAAGACAGGTTAAGATCTAAGAATGAGTTTCAGATCAATGGTAGTTCTGCTGCGTAAGCTTTTGCAGTTTTGTTTCGTTTGTCACTTCTTATAGATTTATTTATGTTGTTCTGAAATCTGAAAACATCTTCTGGAATAATGAAATTTTGTATACATAAAAAGGCATGACCGTTGAGGAATTTTTCCCCCCTTTCTTCAGCTGCATTTTATCTTTTCAGTTTTACTAAGTGAAGACAAATGACAGACTAATTATCAGACAAATGAAATTCATACAACTCGAAATGATAAATGTGTTCATGGCATGGGAGGAGGAGCACAATTACAGTGGCTTAAACCAATTTTAACATACCGAAAGATGGTTTCTTTCAGTAGACCAATGGTGCATATGGTGAAGAAAATATTTATACAAAAATAAGACAAATCATGGAATTTATATCAGATTGATAAATGATGCATGAAACACTCAACAACAATGTGTTTTTTGGAATAGATGCCAATCTAATATATAGCAGAAGATGCAAGAAGTCATCAACATGGGATCCGTGGCGCAATGGTAGCGCGTCTGACTCCAGATCAGAAGGTTGCGTGTTCGATTCACGTCGGGTTCAAAATTTTTGTTACTTTTTTCGCATTTTTGCTTTTTGAGGCCCCCAAGTCAGAAAGTGCTTTTTCTTATTTTGCTCTTTTTTGAGCTAAAAGCCCAAAGCCAATTTGAAGCCAGAGCAGAAGGGTCTAATCAGATCAGAGAGGCGAAGCAACCACCGCCTGTCCCCCACGACACAAAAAAGCACTTTTTTCCGTAGCGTGGGCTCAGCTGACTGCCAGTAGGGGCGTGGTGGTACAAATTGGCCTATAGGGGCGGAGAGTATAGTTCTCTCTAGTAGCCTTACGGACTCTGCGCACGTTAGCATCACCCACTCCACTGCCCCCACCTCTCTCTCCCTCATTAAATCAACAATGCCATTCCCAACCACCACAACCTTCATTCCTCTCCTAACCTACGCTCCCCTCCTCCTTA